TCATCTTGGATGAGAGAGAGAGAGAGAGAGAGAGAGAGAGAAGAGAAAAGAAAAGAAAAGAAAAGAAAAGAAAAGAAAAGAAAAGAATATCGCGTGGATGCATCGGATAAGAGAGCGGTGCAGAGGAGGTCGGTAATATTTTCTAGAAAAGAGCGGATATGCAGTATAGGTGGGCGCATAACCGTGGCGGCTTTAATATAGGAGATGTCGGGTAAACAAAAGTATAGACGTTGGGCCAGGGTGCGCACACACCCGGAGTGAATGAACGGGTGGCGAGTGCTCGGATGATGGTTAGCGGCGGCGGCGTCGTCGTCGGGCTGGTACCGGTGCTGCCTCTGCGCCGTTCGTGGGTGCGGGGGTAGGTTCTGCGAGGGTGGTCAGAAGAAGGAGGGCAGGGGAGGAGAAGGAAAGGTTCTGGGGCCGAAAAGGGAAAAGCTGAGAGGGAGGTGGAGGAGAGGAGGTTGGAGGAGGTGGCGCGGCCGCGTGTAGCCTCAGCGCGTTAAGCACCGCTTGGCTTGGTTTAATTTTCCTGATGTAGGCAGGCGATGGTGGGTCCGACCAACCGCCTCGTTCACCCCTAGGTCACCCTATTGGTATTCTCTCTCTTTCTCTCTTTCTTCGTTTCTCTCTTTTGCTTTGCATCGCTGCTGCCAGCTGCTAAGCACGACCGGTTGGCCCGACCAGAGCAGAGAAAGAGAGCCGAGCTGACGGAGGGAAAAAGAGAGAGAGAGAGAGAGAGACGATATGTCGAGGTGAGGAGGGGAGAGGAGGGCTTTCCGCACCTCCACCGTCAATGTTTGACGTCGGTAGCCGTGGCTCGACCGCCTCGAGATGAATCCATCACGTTAAACAATGTAAATGTTAGCCCGTCTCAGCATAAAACTAATAACCATTGCTCTCTCCCTCGTCCTATGGGCACGGCCTCCACTCGCGGTTCGCCGGTTCCTCATTCACCTCTGGCTTCGCTTGTTTCCACTCCTCGGCTGCTTTTCTCCTTCTGTTTCTCCGCTTGCGCCTCTCCTACGACCTCGTCTACGTGGCTTCATTAAAAAGTCGCCGTTCATCCGCTCGAACTTACGTATTGTCGAGGGAGAGACGCAGGGGTATTCGTGTATATCTGTTGTTTGGGTTGAATATCGATGAACGAGTCGTCTTTGAAAGAGACGATTTCTTTAAGGTAACTGCGAATGGAAAGAAAAGACAGCGATTAGAGATGTTATCGATGCTAATATTTGACGCTGTTATTTTTTTTAATTAATATATTTCTATTTCCAATTTTTATTCTCGATTCTATTTTTTGTAAAAAAAAAAAATAATAATAAAGATAAGAAATAAAAAACGCATTTAGCAAAGATGATGACAAGAATAAAAATGGCACGCTATTGCTCGCTTCGGCAGTGGCTACGCTTCTCGTTATGCTAATACGGTAAACGAGTCGTTGGAAATTCAAATCTGACGATACCGGATGGATTGCGAATTTCAGTGAAGACGAGCAGAATGGGGGACCGACAGTGAACGGTGTACGGAGGACCCTCCAGCAGACAGAGGACTCCGACCCCAGTTCAGTCTTCGACAGCGTCTTTATGTCTATGTCCGACACTCTGAACTCGATAAATACACTCGAAAGTTCCGATCAGACTCCCGACGACAAACCACAAAACACTACCACCGACAGAATACCATTAACACAGCGCGATACCACACGGTAATGGCATGCAAACATTCTCCAGCACTTTTGGTAGCGCTTTTGATTCCCCGACACTGGAATAAATATTCCGTTCGATTGTCAATCGAAGGTTTCCTCTAGACTGAATTTTACCAAAAAATCACTTGTTGCATCTTTCTAACGTACGAATAAATTCTTTTTTGTAAATTGAATATTATGATTGTAATTTTGATCGAGCGTTTGAAAATGATCATTTAGATTTAATCCTATGATGAAATTTTGTCATTTGCCATTGTCATTATTCTGTAATAAGATTAATGTTTTTACATTATAAATTATTAAGTGGAATCATGAATAATGCATAAGAATAGTAATTTCGAAACACAAGAAGAAAAACAAAAATCTGGAAAGGAATATATTGAACAGCTTACCACATTTCAAACAACACTTTTCAATCATATCCACACGAGTTCTCTTCCATCACCAAGTGTTGAAACAAAAATACACTTTCATCTTTGAAATATTCAACAATCCTTAAATTTGTTACAGTGTTAATCGTCCAAAGCGCTACTGCACCATGTTTAGCTTTACTACACAAACAAACAAACAAATCAGAACAAGAAATAAATAAGTAAAGAGAAAATGAAAAAAAGAGATTTATCTATTAGCAATTCCAAGTTGTGAATTAGTCCCTCTGAGACTTCAAGTTTGGTTGCGCAGGGGTTCCGACAGCGGATTGTACCAAACGCCACCGGTACCTCGTGGAACAATGGAGGGTAGCTTCGTGTCGGAGGATCTGTCCTTGACATTACCCACGGGATACGGGGGTGGCAGGGAGTCGGACCAATTGAGCGTTTCCTCGTCCTCGAGCGTCGGTGGACCGAGCCCGCGGGACCGGCGTTGTTTGCCCAACGATTCCAGCGCCGCCGGGATTTACTTGCCAATGGCACCCTTGTCCAGTTCTCTCCACAGCCCCGCCTCCAACAGTAAAGTCTCGGTAAGAATATATATACTCCGGATCCCCTTTTCGCCTCTTCTCCCTCACTCCGATGAAACAGAGAAATATTCTCGTTCGAAGCGAAATCTATCCGCGTTATAATCGACATGTTCGATAATGTCTGATACGTATACGTGTAAATGAAACAGATACGAGGAAACTTATGATACGCCTTATATCTGAAAGAGTTAAGAAAAATTAGTTTTGAAAATTTTAAACGCGAGATTTGATTTTGAATTTTTTTTTTTTTTTCGAAGATATGTATCTTTTATTTATATTGTAATTTTTTGGAAAGTAATTGTTCTGCGACGGTTACACTACGAGTTACACTGTAATTTTAAAATAATGAGAAATTTGTAAATTTGGATTATATATATGTAAATTGTTATTTGCATTATCTTACCATGTTATAGTTCCAAGTAAAATTTCAATTTTCCCAAGTTTGATAATAACTTTTCAACTTTTTCTTGAATACTAGATAAGAGATTGTTAATTTCGATGTTGTTAACAGGATTCTAATTTATACGGTTGAATTGTCTTTCTTTAAGCGTTCCTCTATTTCCTTTTCTTCCACTTACTCGAGATTGACTTCTTTTTTCGCATCGAAGAACCGTGTAACCCGGCAATGAATCATCTCTGCGCCTTACAGTTCGTTAACGTGGACAAATTAATCGCGAGTTAATTGGCCCGACAGCTTGACGCTGGCTACATTTTTCCTTCGAACGAGACTGCTTCGTGAAAATGCCGATCGAATATTACCTTCAAAAGATATCCGACGATTGATCGGTATTATTAGTTGGACCTCGTTTTCATCCAATTGTTTTCTTTTTTTTTTTTTTTTTTTTTCCTATAAGGATGAAGGTTTCATTCTTTATTAACCTCAATTCTTAATTGACCTCTTGTTATTTGTTTTCGCATTAACGAGATATCATATCAGATTATTGTCAAAGTATCGATGTTTTTTATATATTCGCAATCAATTAAGATGACATTTAAATTGAAGCCAATTAAAATAAATATTCCTATAATTTTAGCAATTATTTAATTGTTATCATTTTAAAAAGTATTAATAATATTCATAGAATATCTTTAAAGAGTTAATTCTAAAAATTAAAATAAATATAAAAATTGATACATAAAAATGTTGCTTGAACTTACAAGTAATAAGTATAACTTTGCTTTAGATGAATTTTATTATGTATTAACGAAATCATAAGCATCAAATTAGTATTAATTCGTACATACATTTCAGCCAACACCACCAAAAAAACCACCGAGGCGCAACTTGTCTGTCTCACCAACGCATCTACAGACCCAAATGTCCTTATCAGCGGATTGCACTTTGGGCCCTAGCAATTACGAATATCTGTTCATGGCGCGCAGCGGCGCTCGTAGTCACATTGACTTGGAACAGTTGCAGAAACGTCGTGAACAATTGCGTCACGTAACCAGAAGTGTGGACCAATATGTAGAGATGAAGTCTCGCGTGCCGGATGGCGAGGAAAGACGTGAAACCAATGTGGAACCAGTCGCCATCACTTCCATCTACGAGAACAGACCGATCAAGACGTTGAATCCTCGACGAAAATTACGTAGACACGCGTTTGAGAATTACGAGCAGGAGAGTAGCCCATGCGTGGACAAATCACCGTGCAGCGAGACCGATTCATTCGTCCAGGAACCAGTATTCGTGTCAAACGCGTTCCTGACACTCAAATCTTCCCAGGAGAGTCTTTTGGACGATAAACGCGATGCCATTGACGAGCATTCTACACCGGATGGCCGCGAGGCGACTGACAAACGCTTGAAACGAGTACAAATGATGCTGCCCACCAGTCCCACACACTATGCTCAACCTCCGACGCCTGATCATCCACCACCTTCTGCTATGCAAGCTGAGAAATCTATTCATGAAAGGATTCGTCCTTTGAGTCAGGTGAGTCTTCGTTTATGGATATGTGGATGTCTGTTGTATTATTTATTTAACCTTTAAATTAAAGATATTAATAATATGTAATTATTTTTGTTAATTTTAATGCAAAAATTAAAAATATAAATACAATATTAAGTTCTTTGTGAGATCATATTAATGTTAGTAACTTAATAATTGTATCAATTTATAATAATCTTATCAAAGCTAACCTCAAAATTTATAGAGTGCGTAAATTGCATATCCTTTAATTTTAATCCTTTAATTCGCAAATTCTTTGCTAATCAAATTATTTTAACTAAGTCAATCGATCATAATACCGTAAAAATCAAAATTATTTTCCAATTTTTTTTGTTAATAATAATATATTTAAGTCTCGAATCGTATGCATGCAAATTCACTACACGATCTTTCAATAGATCTTATTAATGCGGTAAACGCTTTCGTCACATGTTCTCTACTGGAGCGTATATTCGTAGAAAGTTCAATTTTGCATCCTTGACTACGTTTCAGGAACAGAACTAATGCGTGTGCATTCCCATTACTCTGTTACGTATATTGAGATATCAAACACCAGTAGCTACTGCTTGCAAAAGTATTGATGCGAAAATTTCGTTTCGAAAACTGTAAAATATTCAGAATCATTTATTGATCGAAATAATTGATAATCGTGATATTGCCACGATTGTAGCGTATCAATCGCTAGAAAAATTTTATCAACAATACCATTTGGAAAACATCGTTGAAGCCAAGACACGATCGTCAAACATGGACAGTAGATAAGCAGTCGACAGGATGCCTTAGCAGGTTACGTTTAATATACAAGCCGTGTTTGATCTGTGATGCGATTTGCAAGGAGGTCGAGATGTCTGTCGCTCTATGCTCGTTTCCCGCCGTTTGCCGCATCATCCTATGATCGTTCTGCTGTGAGAGTGACTACGTTCGCATCCGCCACGAATGGATATTCACACAACATATACCGTATGGTCTCCTTATATTTCTCTCTCGTTCATGTGTCTCGTATCTTCTACAGGTGCGCCATCTCGTGAGTAGAAGCTCGTATCCTCTCTCGTATCCTCTCCGACTATGATGTCTACATACTACAACTTACCAGTACTCATGCATCCTTCTTTACCAATCCCTACTCACTCCACCTAACCTCCTCCTCTCGTCCTTTCTCGCTACTTCCTTTTCGCTGGCTGCTATATGCGTTCGCAATCCGTGTCTTTCAGCGGTTATACACGCTTCACGAAATATCGTACAGTGAATATATCCTTCAGCGAAAGGAGACGGATGAAGGCAAGACGCTTTGGTGCCGGTATGTACGGTTGCCTCTGCTTCGGGCGGATCGACTAGTTAGAGCCTTGTAGATCTTCACGGATACCAGATACGATCGCGTCGCTCTCTCAGAGATTTTTTTATTTCTCTGTTGCATCTGCGTAAATGTTAAATCGTTTGATAGATCTAATCTTACAGTGGATAAATAGCGAGCACTTACCAAGCATAAGAAATATCCAAGATAAATTGGTTTTCAAACTTTACTGCATAGTTGAAGTTTGTGTAAATATATGCATTTTGTACGTGTTTGGAAATTTGGATTTAAATTTGCATTCTTAAAATATTTTGATTAAAGAAAGAATAAATATATGATATTATTACGTGTTTTTCTATGAATATAGATAGAAAATTTATCATTTCAATAATTATTTTATTCTTATTCGTTTAGTTACACTATTGGGTTCGCAAGAAATAAGGACAGGTTGTGTCAGGTTCCATGGAAAGCGAGGAAACAAAGTTGGAACGTGTAATTTCGTTGAACCGGATGTCTGTATGTGTATAGATCTGGCAATCTAGCGGGACGGTAATTGGCAAGTCACGGGGTCGCGACTGGCGATAACGAGTCAACCTCGATTTCGATTGACGCTCGTAAATCTCATCAACCCGGACGAGACACAGCCGATGTTTCGGCACAATTTAATCGTCTCTTCGAACGTTGTACAGTGGCAAAGGTTGTGCCTTGATTGATACAAGATTGAGAACTATCTATCGGTTATGGCGCATAACCGTTCTCGTGATTCAATTATCGATTAAAGGAAATGATTTATCAGTCAAAGGTGAAACTTTTAATCTTCTAAAATATTATTATATTATTTAAATATTAAACTTATTTAAAGCATTGATCGAATTTTAACGTTAAGGTTTTGTATAATTTTTTTTTAAGATAAATTTATCCTTCGAAGATAACGCATATCAAATAATTATTTTCTCAATCATAACATTCTGAAAATCTTTTTCTTTTTAATTATAGATTTCCAACTTTCATCATTTCCCAATCTGATCCTTCAACTCCAACAATTCTAAATTCCCTTGTTGGAAAGAAAAGAAAATATAAGATAACGAACGTGTACACCGTGTGAAATCACCGTGTTTCTGAAAGAATGTCAATCGTTTGCCGCGAATCAATGACGGATACACCATTGAAAGACAGGATCGGGTCGGTATCGTGGCGAGTAGCGGAGGATTGTGGAAAAGAGGAAGCGTGGCGGCGCGTTTGGCAGCGGAGGAAGAGGAGGAGGCGGAGGAACTGCTCACGGATGGTTGCTTCACACCCGTCAACTTCCGCGGATCCAGCAGAGCGGCAGAATGCAAGACGCCGACACCCTTTGAATAATGAAGCCCTCGGCTTCTATGCCTGTCTGACTTCTCCTCGCGAACGCTCGTTCTCTCCTCTCGCCAACGAGAAATCTACGAATTTGTAGCGACGCTTTCCTCTCGCTTGCCGCGACCGAGATGCGACCGTCCGCCGTCTGTGTCCGTCTGTCGGCTTTGATGGCGTCAAATTTTAATTGCGTTAAAACGACGATCCGCGACACGTAGGAATCTTATCTTGGCTCGCGTTTAATCGTCTTTGAGTCTCTTTATGGATGAACTGTACAGCGATATCGTGCATCTTCTTCGCAGTAGAAACGACTTCTCTCGTTGGGAAGAATAAGTACACATGTGTACTTATATATCGCTGATTTTGCTGGAAGAGTGATACAATGAAGAAAAATAGGAAATGGTTTTTAGAAAATCGGTTTGATGAATATTGATAATAATTATTAATTCTTTGATCGAATTGAATTGATTGTTTGAAGGAGGAGGATTTTTTCCCCTCTGTATTTAATTTAGATGATGAATATATGTGTAAAATAATTCAACTAAATTTGAATTATCGTTGATGAAAAAAAATGATAGAATAAATATTTTTTCGAAAACTATTTTTCCATATAAATATTATGTTTGATGTTGTATGATATTCAAAGTTTCTTAAAATATCAAGTTTTAGTTTTTTTCGCTAATTTCAAAAGTTATTAAATTTATAACAATGTAAAAAGCATTGGTTCAGCTTTGTTTTATCAATCGGTTTCATGTTTGTATTCAAGAATTTTTATTATCATTATAACATTCAATATTTATACATTGAAAATGTCGATTCGTGGTAAACGATGACGATATATTTTTGATTTTGTAAACCGAAATTTTAATAACTGTTATACGTATTCGTGATTTAAATTGCGGATCGAAGTTTGGAATACAAATATACATTCCTGTTGAGATTTATTTAACCGATTCATATTTTATAAAGTTTATTATGTATAATCGTATCAAGTGATCCATACCGATAGATTTTTATCGCGTTGGAATCGTTTTTATTTACTCCGTTCAAACTTGTTTTCATGTGCAACGTTCAGAGATAAATTTCTATAGCTCGTAAACGTACGAAATGTCATTTTTGATCCGTTTTTTCCCTAGTAATTCGAGTGTATATTACCGTTTCAAAAAAGTTTGAAATAGAGAGAGAGAGAGAGAGAGAGAGAGAGAGAGAGAGAGAGAGAGAGAGAGAGAGAGAGAGAGAGAAATATATATATATATATATATATATATATATATATATATATATATATATA